CTCCGGATCCGTGAGGGGGGTACCGTCTTCTGCAAGAAGGCAGGTGACGTGTTTCTTAGCCCCCTCGTTTTCTCCAGGGCATAGAAGAAGCGGGAGCCGCGGTCCATCTCCCGAAGGAGGCGGATGCGGGACCGAACAAAGGCACCTCGGGCCCGGTGGTCCTCAAGGGCCCGAAGCTCCTCCCGCTTCTCCCGGCACGCTCCGCAGAGGGACGGGTCCTCGGGATCGGCGGCCAGGCGCCTCTCCATCTCTAAGACCTCCCGTTCCAACTGCTCTATCGCCGCATTTCGCCGTCGGCTGGTGCCCCGAGTGTAGTCACGGCAGAAGAGCTTGGCGCGCACCTTCCCGAGATCCCACCATCGCCGCACCGAGGGAAAGGCACGCCACTGCTCCCGCCAGGCCAGCCAAAACTCCCGGAAGGACATCACAAAGCTCTCGTCCTCCAACAGGCTGTTATTAAAGTGCCAATAGGCCGGCCCCAGTCTCTCTGCACGGAGGGAGACCGTTACAGTGACTAAATGATGATCGGAGAATGGGGCCGGCCGAACGGCGGAGGAGTGGGCTTGTGAAAGGTGGAAACGGGATAAATAAATACGGTCCAACCGAGAGTGGTGTGACCGATGGGCCTCCACCCGAACAAAGGTGAACGTGGAGGTGTCATCTGGGTGATGGTCACGCCAGACGTCCACTAGGGAGTGATGGTCAACTATCCCTTGGAGAATATTTGCAGCGGCCGGACTCGGTTCGGCCCCTGAGCGATCCCGTTCCTCGAGGGTGGTGTTAAAGTCCCCTCCCAGGACCAGGCACTCGTGCGAATCCAGGGTGCCGAGAAAGTCGGACACCTGCTGATAAAATTGTGGCCGCCTGGAGCTCATTGCGGGGCATAAATATTGACAAGATTAACCACGAGGCCCTCCATACGGACTCGAAGGTGCAGCACGTGGCCCGGCACGGCCTCATTAACCCCTAGCACCTCAGGCCGTAGGTTGGGGGAGAACAGGGTTGCCACTCCAGCCTGCCAGGTCGCGAAATGGCTAAAGTATACCCCGTTCCCCCACTCCAGCCGCCACCTGTCCTCGGCGGTCGGGTCCGTATGAGTCTCCTGCAGGAAAACTATAGAATACCTCCCTTCCTGAAGGTAAGAGAGCACCTGGGACCTGCGGAGAACCATCCTACAGCCCCTGGTATTCAGGGTCGCAATAATAAGAGGCGTCATGCGGAGGGCTGGGGGGGTGGGGGCCTCGTATTGGCGGGGGGATTCAGGGCCCCCGGCGGGTTGCACAGCAACCCATGACCCATCCCGTGGGTGAGTAGATCGCGTCGGAAGTTGCGGGCTCGCTCGTAGGCCGCAGCACCACGCTTTCCTTGACCCCTGCTTTCCTTTATAAGGGCCCTTGTGGCCTGGAGGATTTGATCAAAGTCCCCCCATAGCCGAAGGGCCAGCTGTGCCTTATCGCGGGCGCCACGGGTGTGCTCTAGGAACTTCCGTAGCGCATGCCGCAGCTCATGGGGGGGTGGGGTTACAATTCCCGAGGTATTCCCTGATGGGCCTCTTAATACAGCCTCGTGGTCCGCTAAGGCAGGTAAACAGGGTGCGGACCACCGACGGGGCGTCTGACAGGCTGGGGTTATTAAATTCATTTCATGCCTTGGGGTGGAGGGGGATGGCAGGGGAAAAATTGCCACTCCTAATGGGTCGCGGCTAGAAAGTGCAAAGACTGCTCCCTGGGGGGAATCTGCAAAAGGCGGAAAGGAAATAACCCCAGGGGCGGCATTAACATTACAGGAGGAGGGACCTTGGGCAGGGGCAGGGGTGGGGGCAGGGGCAGGGGTAAGGCTCTGGGGTGCAGGAGGCAAGTAGCTAAAGGAAAGTGCCTCCTGAGCAGAGTCAAGGGTTAAGGGGTAAGGGAGGGGGCTCCCAATAATGCTAGATGCTGGCTCCATGGTGGTCTTGGCGGCCATGGCATCAGGTGGTGGACCACTTTCTGCAGAGTGCTCACCCGGGAAGACAATTAGGGGGAGGGAGCATGGGGAAAGGGAGGCTGGGGTAAGGCTACCCAGCTCAAGGTCAGCCGGCAGCAAATCATCCCCTCCCTGGGTGACCGGGGTCAAATCTAGGGCCTCAATCTCCGCATACATGGGGGAGAGGCCAACTCCTGCCACCCCGGGGGCCTCTCCTCTAGGGTCCGCCTCAACGGCCGCCTCGGGGTCCGCGGGGGGTTCGGGTAGCGTCCAGGCAGAAGGGGCGTCCTCAGAAGTCTCGGAGGGGAGGGTCTCCCGTGGAGGGGGGATTCTGCCCTCCAATGCCAGTCCGTCTTCCCCTCCCGACACCAGCGGATGGATCTCGCTCACGGCCGTGGCGGGAGGCTCGATAGCAGTGCCTCCTTTCCTGGTCTTCCGGGGGGGCTTCTGCGTCGGGTGGATGCAGCGGAGCTCGAGCCTTCCGCTTGCCTCGCTTCCCCTGGACTAGGGTCCAGCCCTCCATAGCGTCATCTGGGGGCTGGTTAGCAGGGGTCGTGCCGGGGGGCGGAGGCGATGGTTTAGGGGTTCGGGGAGGTAGCGGTGGGGCAACATGAGGGGCGGGGGCTTCTCCTTGGGGAGGGCCCTCTCCTATACCCGATAATATCCTTGCCCCACCCTCCTCCATGGGCTCTGTTGGGTTGGTACTAGCAAGGGTGAAACTCCCTTGCTCGTCCGGGCGTTGTAGGGAAGGTATCTCCTGGGCCCGGACGGGAGCAGCAATGGGTCGAGTAGGAGGAGGGTTGGTTTCAGGTGCCGGGCAGCCAGGGGCGTCGGCAGCAACGGGGCCGATGTCCTGCCGGGTCTCGGGGGTTTCGGGGACCCCTCCCCCCCGGGCCAAAGGGCAGTCTCTGCGGACATGCCCCGCTGAACGGCAGAGGTAGCACCGGGCCTCTCCGGTAGAATAAAAGACCCGATAGCGGGCTCCCTGGTAGGGGACTAGAAAGGACCCCTCAAGCGCCTCTTCGTCACGCGCTCCTGCCGGTGGTAGAAGCTGCACTTGCCGGCGGAACGAAAAAATGTGACGGAGGGTGGGGTCCTTGCAGCCCAACGGGAGAGGGCTGATGACAGAGACAAGTTTCCCCAGGGTGGAAAGAGCGGGTAACAGGGCAGCATTGGGTAAGAAGGGAGGAACGGAGGTAAGGACGAGGCGGACGCCCAGGTCTTCTAACGGTTCTAGGGGGACAAACACCCCCCCACCGTCAGGCCCCTCTCTACCGCCTCCTGGGCGGCATCCTCCGAGGCTAAGAAGAAAACAACCTTCCCATACATCTTGGAGGCCGCCACAATAGCCGTGGGTCCTACCACCTTCGCCAACGCCTGCACGTATATCTCCACGTGGGGCGAGGCGGGCACCAGGAGGCAACGGACGCCGTGCTTCCTGGTCAAAGCGGGGAAAGGGCCTCGGCCGCTGGTGATGGTGGCGGAGGCGGGGGGGGGGCGAGATGACGAGGCGGCAGGCGGGGGGGAGCCCGCTGCCGCCCGGGCATACGTCCCGGGGGCCGGGGGAGGGGCAATCGCAGAGCTGGTGGAGGGAAATACAGGGAGGGGCGCCACGGTTGATGACGAGGCCGCAGCGGTGGGGGCAGCCCCTGCCATGGCGGGCTCAGTGGTTTTAGCGGGGCCCTTTCCTTTCCACCCGCCCTGGCCCTTCCGGCGAACCGGGGGGGGTTTCCTAGAATCTGGGTGGGCAGTGGGTGCAGCAGCAGCAGCAATCACCCTGGTGCCTCCTGCTACCGGTGCCCCAGCAGGGGGGGTGGCAAGTATCTTAGCAATAGTGGCAGGGGGGGACCTTGGGGGTCGGGCAGGGGTGGTGGTGGGGAAGGGACAACTAATTTTATGGAAGCAATCTCACCCCTCTCGTTCCCCGCCATTGTGAGCAGGGAAAGACAGGGAGACACCGGAAGGAGGAGGGGGGGAGGGGAGAAAACGGAATAGCCCCTCCTTCCACTAGGCTGCAAACAAAAAGAGAAGGAATGCCGAGGGGGGGGGGGGACTGGGAGGAGGGGGGGACAAAATCGGGGTCCAGTAATAGGGGCAAGCTGTGGGATAAGCAATCCGGGGGGGGGGGTGCAGACCCCACACGTTTGTCCAAAGAGTCTCGGTTGGTCGGCTGTTGTGTCCGGTCCGGAAGGCAAAGTTCAAAGCGAACAGCTGGATCCGAAAGGAGATGGCAGATTGCCAGCAGGGACAGACGGCGGGGGGCCGTGACAGTTGTAATAACGATGGGGGGTAGGGGCACCGATGGATCGGGGGTGGGGGTCTCCACGCCACACCCCCTGTGCCGCCACAAACGCAAGTAATCACAGTCAAACTCCCCCCCACGAGAGTATAATTCAGAAAGTTACTCAATCTTACGGCCCTCTTCACGATGATTTATAGCTCCCTTGAATTATTTCTTCTGTCTGCTGAAATCTCCTTCTCCGGCTGTGTTGGCTGTGTTCCAAGGCCTTCGGCATGTTAAGAATGTTGTAAAGTCCGAGCTGCTGGCAAGACGGCTGGGTCTGGGGGTTTCCACTCCCCCCTCCAGACAGCAAATCGGCAATCTTCCCCCCCCTCCTCCGGGGGCTCAGCTGAGGCAAGTAGCTGCGCCCGAAAGCAGGCGTGGGGGGGGCGGGTGCTGGCAAAGGACGTAGACGGAAAAAAAAACACAAAAAATGAAAAGAAAAACAAAAAAAGCGTCTGACCCGGTCGGGGGGGGACTAAGGCAGGTGCAAAAAGTAAGAAAAATCCGGGCCAGGGGGCTTTAGGAAAGAACAGAAAGCAGATAGCTGAGGAGCAAGCAAAAGACGTTCCGTTTCCCAACAGGGAAGGTTCCAGAACAATCAGGAACCTTCTGGAGACAATTAAGACGGCTGATTAGAACACCTGCAGCCAATCAAGAAGCTGCTAGAATCAATTAAGGCAGGCTAATCAGGGCATCTGGGTTTTAAAAAGGAGCTCACTTCAGTTTGTGGTGTGCGTGTGAAGAGTTGGGAGCAAGAGGCACTAGGAGCTGAGAGTGAGAACGCGGACTGTTGGAGGACTGAGGTGTACAAGCATTATCAGACACCAGGAGGAAGGTCCTGTGGTGAGGATAAAGAAGGGGTTGGGAGGAGGCCATGGGGAAGTAGCCCAGGGAGTTGTAGCTGTCGCCCAGCTGTTCCAGGAGGCACTCTAGACAGCTGCATGCCACAGGGCCCTGGGCTGGAACCCGGAGTAGAGGGCGGGCCGGGTTCCCCCCAAATCCTCCCACCTCCTGGTCAGACACAGGAGGAGTCGACCTGGACTGTGGGTTCGCGAAAACGGCCAAACTGAGGGCTGCTGTGAAGCTCCAAGGCGAGCAAATCTGCCAATAAGCGCAAGACCCACCAAAGTAGAGGAGGAACTTTGTCACAAACATCTCTTGCTAGCTGCAACTCCAGGTGTGATTTGGCCTTCCTGATTTCACTCCTGCATGCCTGAGCAATATTTTTATACTCATCCCTGGTCATTTGTCCAATCTCTCACTTCTTGTAAGCTACTTTTTTGTGTTTAAGATCAGCAAGGATTTCACTGTTAAGCCAAGCTGGTTGCCTGCCATATTTACTATTCTCTCTACACATCGGGATGGTTTGTCCCTGTAACCTCAGTAAGGATTATTTAAAATACAGCCAGCTCTCCTGGACTCCTTTCCCCCTCATGTTATTCTCCCAAGGGATCCTGCCCATCAGTTCCCTGAGGGAGTCAAAGTCTGCTTATCTGAAGTCCAGGGTCCATATTCTGCTGCTCTCCTTTCTTCCCTGTGTCAGGATCCTGAACTCAACCATCTCATGGTCACTGCTCCCAGGTTCCCATCCACTTTTGCTTCCCGCACTAATTCTTCCTGGTTTGTGAGCAGCAGGTCAAGAAGAGCTCTGCCCCTAGTTGGTTCCTCCAGCACTTGCGCCAGGAAATTGTCCCCTGTGCTTTCCAAAAACTTCCTGGATTGTCTGTGCACTGCTGTATTGCTCTCCCAGCAGATATCAGGGTGATTGAAGTCTCCCATGAGAACCAGGGCCTGCGATCTAGTCACTTCTGTGAGTTGCCAGAAGAAAGCCTCGTCCACCTCATCCCCCTGGTCCGGTGGTCTACCGTAGACTCCCACCACGACATCACCCTTGTTGCTCGCATTTCTAAACTTAATCCAGAGACTCTCAGGTTTTGCTGCAGTTTCATACCAGAGCTCTGAGCAGTCATACTGCTCTCTTACATACAGTGCAACTCCCCCACCTTTTCTGCCCTTCCTGTCCTTCCTGAACAGTTTATATCCATCCATGATAGTACTCCAGTCATGTGAGTTATCCCCCCCAAGTCTCTGTTATTCCAAACACATCATAATTCCTTGACTGTGCCAGGACTTCCAGTTCTCCCTGCTTGTTTCCCAGGCGTCTTGCCTTTGCGTATAGGCACTTGAGATAACCCGCTGATCGCCCGGCTTTCTCAGTATGAGGCAGGAGCCCTCCCCCTTGCGCTTTCCTGCTCGTACTTCCTCCCGGTATCCCACGTCCCCACTTACCTCAGGGCTTTGGTCTCCTTCCCCCAGTGAACATAGTTTAAAGAAGGAGATATAAGCCCCAGAGAGTGGTGAGTCATGGGAAGCGGGTGCATCTCCTACTTGCTTTATGGTAAGTATTTCTGCATGAGTCTGAAAACCTAAACGCCCATTTAAAAATGTGAATGGGACCATTTGTATGAGAGAGGCATGTGGCCCCGTGCTCAGGGACCCCTGAGTTCTGATCCCCGCTCTGCCCGCAATGCCCGCTGCAGCCGCTGGCTTAGCTGGTGTATGGCACCCAGCACACGTATGCCATTGCTACTCAGCTTTATTGTACAAAAAAGGGCCCCATAAATATAAATGAGACCAACTGAAGACAGAGATACATACCTGATGGAGCTGTGTAGAGGCATAAATTATTCTGCAGCACATTTGGCTGTCAGAGCAAGCTTTGTGCCTTAGTACAGTGTTGGGATGTAATAAAGATAAGATGTTAGAGACTCATTTTATGATGCTCTCTTCTGCCGGCAGAGCTGTTTATCTTTCTTTTCAACCTTCCAACTTTCTTACTTTGATTCTGATTCTATACCAAAATGCAATTGTAACCAGGGAGTCATCATTGCCCTGGCATGGTTCCAGGGGGTCCCGCAGGATTTGGTTCTTGGCCCTGCGCTATTTCATACTTTTCTCAATGACCTGGAAGAAAACATAAAATCATCATGGATAAAGTCTGAAGATGACACAAAAACTGGAGGACTGGTAAATAATGACTAGAACAGGTCTCCAATACAGAGCGATCTGGGTTACATGGTAAACTGGGTGCAAGCAAATAATATGCGATATAATATGACTAAATGTAAATGTATCTATAAGTATCAACAAGGGGAACAAATATTTAGTAATGGGGCTTTTCAATCTAGCAGAGAAAGGCCTAACGTTATCCAATGGCTCTAAGTTGAAGCTAGACAAATTCAGACTGGAAACAAGGTGTAAATTTTTAACACAGAGGGTAATTAACCATCCGAACAACCTGCCAAGGGTCATGGTGGATTCTCCATCACTGACCATTTTTAAATCAAGACTGGATGTCTTTTCTAAAAGCTCTGCTCTAGGAATTATTTGGGGGCAGGTCTCCAGCCTGTGTTCGACAGGAGGTCAGACAAGATGATCACAATGGTCCCTTCTGGCCTTGGAATCTATATTTTTAGGACATGTGTGAATAAATAATTCAACAGATTAAAAAAATGAGGAGGAAAGAAAGCAACAAAGCAAGTAACAGCCCCATCATCTTTCACCAGGTAGAATGCGAGGCAAGTGAATGGCTGCAATTAGGCTGCCAGGCCATCCAAAAATAGACTGAAAATACAGGGTTTGTTTAGAGTTTTATTGACAACAGCCTGACTTAACCAAAGTAAAACACATCTGACCATTTCCCCCACAGCCCAAAGGAAAATCAATGACACTGACAGTTCTGGTTTCTTTTCCTTTAATCCCATTTCAGTGACAAAGACTTGGCAATGGGGAAGTCTGTGTTCCACGGATCCCCAGGGTGTGCACTGCTGGGTTGTCATTGCAGTGCGTGTCATGCTTGTGAAAGGTGCTACGCAACAGAAGGAGGGGGTCTGTTTATCCAGAGAACAGGTGTAGCAGAAGCAACAACAGTGGCGGAAGCTCCCCATTATCTCCCTGCCAACCCACAGAGACCTCATCTCGGCACCCCCAGCTCAGTTGTTCACTCCAAGACTCAAAGCTACTGTGATCCTGAGACTTCTCTAAAGGGAACCCGACCTAGACTACAAACCATGTCCACAGAAGAGCACTGCACAGCTGAAAGTTACCAATAATGTCTGGCCTCCAGTGATTTGGACTGGATTTGAACCAGGTTCTCAGACATGAAAGGTCCAGTAGTCCATTGCCAGTTCCCCAAGCCCCCAACTGGGTGGTTTGGGACTATTTTTTCAGGCATTTGGCTGATGTTTGTTAGATTTAGCCTGAGATGATCGAAGCCCTGGAAGCAAATCGAAACTCAACTCTTCTCTAGAAAATCCATCAGAAAACAAACTGAGGGCCAGTTTGTTTTGGTAAATTTGTTTCTAGATGATTGGATTTAAAGAGTCAATGGGAAAGCTGACATTAAATTCCTTGGCCACCTATAGATCTTTGGGCTCCCTGCAATATGCCTGCCTAGCAGTTAACAGTTTGTCTGGCACTGAAGAACTCTTTTGCCAGGAAAACTCCAGCAAATCTCCAGATGGCTTTTAAAACCCACTGGGCCCGTCAACATGCACCTCTTCCAGCTAGCATGGAGGGTTTTTTTAACCAGATAAAGAATAAAACTATGCTTTGTTATCAGGAAAGATAAATCCCTGGCAGTATAATCAATGCCCACCAGCCCCTCTCACAGTCTTTGCATGGTCTAGTGCATGGGTTACCCCCTCAGAGGAGTCACAGACAGATTTCAGGGGGGTTGTGACCACCCTGCAGCTAGATGGGAGAAGATCCCCAAGTTTCTTCTCTTGTAGCATGGGGTCAGAGTATGGGAAAAATGGAGAACCCTGGTCTAGTGCTTAACACCAAGGGCTGTGAGTGTCCTAGGTTCTTCTTGCAGCTGAGCTACGGCTGCGACCCTGCAATCAAATCACCAGGAGCAGCCTGGCACTTCCAGTGATTCCTGTTGAGTTCAGCAGAGCTCCACATGGCCGTAAGGATCTGACCGTGTGGAGTTGCCTGCAGGGTCAAGACCTTCCTCTGCAACCATCTTGTTCTCCAGGAGATGCAATCTCACCACCCAGCCAGGAAAGCCAGCTGGGGAGAGGCTGGAATTTCCCTACACACCCTGGGCCACTATCCTGGAAACAAGTTGCCTATCACCGGCAGCCTGGCTAATGATTGCCACCCGTCCACTCCCCATTTCTGGCTGGGTTTATTGAAAAGACTATGGCAAAACAACTGTGCAGATCTCTCAGACTTCCCTGGCCCTTGTCAGTCTGGGTTGAGGACTGGGAGCGGCACTGGTTGGTGATCTGCTCCTGGGGACAACTGGAGATCAGGTCCCCAGATGACGTTATTAGCTCTGTCAGTTGTTTCCCACGTTGCTGACCACGAGGTGTTCTCATCTTGCCTTGATGTTGGCAGGGATATGGGGGGCACTGCTGATGCTTCATTCCTTTCTCCCTGCTGCTGATGCTGGGCTGGTAAGGTCACAGAGCTGTGAGGCACATGGAGAGAGCTGACCGGTGGTGCTCTATTCCTTGGAGCAGATAGTGACAGATAAATATCCCTTTCATGGCATGCACAATACAGTGTGAAGTCAGCAAACCCCAGGAGAAGAATATGCTTTGATCATGTGCAGCTGCCGGCAGGGCATTCCCCATGGCCATATTTGACACTTGTCTTTGATGCATCTGCCAGCTGCAAGTAAGTCCCATCGGTAAACAGACCCCTCATTTCATACTGGATGCCCATGCAGCGTGTGCTTTGCTGTGGAAACAGATAAAAGCTTCCCCGAAGTGGGCAGTTAGCCATGCTTTGGTAATAGACCAGCCAGCTCCCTACTACTTGCTTTGGTGTCTTTGGGTTTTTTTAAAATCTCGATTACTGGTGTTTCATGGCCATGTTCCATACCCGTCGCTATTTCTCTCCAAATGTCTCATCAATTACTACTAATGAGTTGGAGCTCCCAGCTTTTTGGCATTGCAATATTGGCAGAAATTCCTCCTGAAAGGTTGTTTAAAATGATAATTGTGTTGTGGAAGTTTGAGGTGTGACACCAACAGCATCTGCCATCTAACCGTTATTAGACACAGTGGAACCCTATGTAGGCTTGGAGCCGATACACAGAGCAGAATCTTTAGGTGTCCAGTTTAACAGCAAGTCTATGAATCGCACAGCATTGTGTTCCAGTTGAATACTGCCTGCAGATGTAGTCACCTCACCTCAAAAAAGATATATTGGAATTGGAAAAGATTCAAAAAAAGGGCAACAAAAATGATTAGGGGTTTGGAATGGCTTCCGTATGAGGAGAGATTAAAAAAACTTGGACTTTACAGCTTGGAAAAGAGACGACTGAGAGGGGATATGATAGAGGTCTATAAAATCATGAGTGATGTGGAGAAAGTGAATAAGGACGTGTTATTTACTCCTCATAAAATTTCACCAAATGAAATGAATAGGCAGCAGGTTTAAAACAAACCAAAGGAAGTATTTCTTCACACAAAGCACAGTCAACCTGTGGAACTCTTTGCCAGAGGATGTTGTGAAGGCCTAGACTGTAACAGGGTTCAAAAAAGAACTAGATTAAATTCATGAGGATAGGTCCATCAATGGCTATTAGCCAGGATGGGCAGGGATGGTGTCCCTAGCCTGTTTGCCAGAAGCTGGGAACGGGTGATAGGGGATGGATCACTTGATGATCCCCTGTTCTGTTCATTCCCTCTGGGGCACCTGGCATTGGCCACTGTCAGAAGACAGGATTCTGGGCTAGATGGGCCATTGGTCTGACCCAGTGTGGCCATTCTTAGGTTCTACTGCAGCTGGTCAGACAGTCTTGACAGGCTCCAGGTAATGCAGACACCACTTCGGATACCATGACCTGCTGAAAGCAACGGTGAAAATAAAAGATTTGAGTGTGTTGGAATGTGATAGCAGTTGGGTAGGAGAGGGCCCAAAGGGTTTTAAATATGATTATGTGCGCGCACGGGCTCAAACTCATCCAGCCAGTTTCCCCTGATTGGTTTAGGTCTCTATCTTCTGCGTCCAGATGCCAAGCTATTCCAAGCATCACACAAAACACCAGAGGCATCATCATACTGATTTTAGAAAGTTTCCCATTTTGACTGGGTTTGGGCATAAATTCTGTAATGTGAGCAATAATGAAACCAGAAGTTAAGCAAGCCTGCAGTCTAGAACACCTCTGGGCTTGTGATTTCACAAGCTTGAGCCAGTTTTTACTTGGATGAGAGTTCCCCAGGAATTACCCAGGCCCCACAGAAAGTAGTTTTGGAGGCATGCTGAATGGTATTCTTAAACAGAGGTACAAAATATTTGTGCTGAAATGCAAAACTGCTTGAGATCCAAAGGGGTATTTTTTTGCAATTATTAATAAATTTGAAAATGGGCCAATTTCAAAGAAAATGTTCCCAAAGTAGGTGCAAGCTTCCAAGCACCAAAGGGACATTTTCACAGTGATGCCATGGCAAGCTGTGAGCAAAACATCCTCATTTGTGAGCATGAAGCTATGAAAAGGTGCTTATTCGGGGAAAAAAGGTGGCAAAACCAAGCAAAAATGTTATATTTGTAATGAAAAAAATAGAATTTCATTTAAATTTTAGGGGGAAATGGGGTCATGGAACTGCAAAAATGCATGTGAAATTCCATGAAACAAATATTGTGTAATATGCAGATCTCTTTAGGATTGTGGACTTAGTGAGTCCTTTTGCCAAGGAAGAGTAACACCGTGTTGATTCAAAGTATCTGTCGCCACATTTCTGTTGCATGTTGGGTTGATCGATGGGCTCCACTAGAACTGGCGAAAGTTTTCCAGTGGGATTTTTCTGCTGAAAAATACCATTCCGTCAAAATCAAATCTTTCGGCAGGAAAGTGTCAATTTCAATGAAATTGAAAAAAATGAAGCAAAGCATTGTGATGATGTTGAAATGCTCTGTCTCGTTTTCATTTTGAAACGACTTTTCATTTCAAAATTTATTTTATATTCTATTCCAACTTAGAATAGAGTATAAAACCTTTAAAAGTCAAAAGTAAAACAAAGCATTTTGATTGACCCAAAATGATTTTCCCCCCAACATTTGCCTTTGGGGGACATTTCAGAATTTGTTTTCATTCCAAATTGGAACATGTCAAATTCTGAAATCACGGAATTGCTCATGAAATAAAAACTCCAGTTTCTGCCCAGATTTAGGCTCCACACTGCCAGCAAACAAAGGGATGTTCCTCTAAATCTCAATGGACCAGCACATTGTGGCATTGCACCCCGTATTCTTCATAGTGATATTATTATGATATACCTATGGCAAAATTATGATGTGTTTTATGCAAGATGGGTCATGTGAGGTGTCATTGGACAGGTTCTGACTTATTGAATACGATTATCCTATTTGTATGCATGTATCATTTTTGTATCTGAAGTTAGGAATATTGCCTATGTATCTGTATTACAAACGTGTTTACACCTGGATAACGCCCCCTAGACAAGATGCTTTCATTCTGAAAAGCTGAGTGGGGAAGGGCCATTAGAGAAAACAATAGGCCTTAGAAGAAGCTTATTTCCCACCTGGGGTGCCTTCCTGACGACACTACAGACAGCCTCCCAGTAATGGCTGCTGTGACACTAGAGGGACATATGACCAGGTCACCTGGCGCTGGACTCCATCTTGCGATATCAGTATTTTTCCACTGACTGGGCATGGGAGCCAAGCTTTGAAACAAAGGGTTCCCGCCCAGGGGTGCCAATGGTGGCTGGGGGGCAGAGGGGCAGGAGTGTCGTTCCCCCACTCCCCCGAGTTTCACACAGGTGGTGTGCGAGCTCCCAGATGGACCTCTTAACTACAGCCCAGCCTTAGTGCGAAATGTAAATGCTGCAGGGGAGGGGTGGCCCTGGGACAGGGAGTCCGGATTTTGTTTACAAACAGAGGCAGGGTGATTAAGATAAGAAAGGGCTGGTGATTAAATTAAGGATCTGGAAGTTTAGCCTTTAAAAGAGAAATCCCTCTGTGGAGGGAGGCGGGGTTGTTTTAGAGAGAACACAGAGGAATCAGAAGAAGAACAGCCAAGCCCTCTGAGCCAAGGTTACGCTCAGAAAAAGGGGAGATTTGGGGGCAAGGTGAAAAGAAGGGGCCAAAACCAAGGGAAGAGATAGCAGCGTATATAGACGTTCCCACTCTACCTGTGGTACTTGCATGGTCCCATCACCGTAATATCTGAGCTCCTCACAAGGTCTAACTTATTTCTCCTCCCAGCCCCTTGGTGCAGTACAGCAGGGCTGAGATCTCCATTGTACAGGTGGGGCACTGAGGCACAGACTAAAGGCCAGATTTTCAATGTATTTGCCACCTAGTGGGATTTTCAGAAGTGCCTAGAAGGTTCGGTGTTTGTAATTCCCACTACATACCTAGCTGCATTTTTGGGTGCCTGAAAACCTTTGAAACTCTGTCCCTAAGGCACCAGCCTGAGGTCAGACAGCAAGTCCATAGGGAGGGAGCAGAATCCAGGTCTCTCAGGGCTACCTCCCTATCTAGCAGACCAGCCACTCTCTCTGCTGCATGCTTCAAAAAAAAGAGGATAGATGGGAGGAAAAGCAAAGCGGCCAGTTCTCTGAGACTCCAGCAAACGGTGACAGGAGGTCGGGATGGAGGTCATGGTTGACAGCATGAAAAGCAGCATAGAGATCAGGAAGGCTGGAGGATGAGAGTCAGATGAGAGGCAATCACTTAACTCCCAAGCGGTGGCAGGTTCTGCCCCATGCTGGGTTGTAGAGCAATGGCTGCTGGGCAATTTTACATTTTAACTGAAAACCATTGTGTTTGGTCGTTTTTTGTTCTGAGTTTGAGAAAAGGAAGGAATGAGAAAGTGTCAAATAAGTATCCAATGTGTTTGTGTCTCAAATTTGTAGGGTTTCAGCTGTATCCAGGCCAATTCCAGAACAAAGAACAGAAACTGCATCCACAGAGTCCATAAAGTCGGCTATTATTGTCATGATTTGTATTATTCACTGGCCATCATCTGTGTGCTCAGCACTGTTCAGAATATGCCAGAAGATGTAGTCCCTGAGCCAATGTGTATAAAATGTGTAGCCCTGGATAAGATGGCTCAGACATGTAAGTATGAAGTGTAGAGTTATTCAGCACACGTTAATATTGGTGAGTGGAGGCTCTGATGGCAATCGAAGTTTTACTGGATTAAGGACTAGAAGATTTGACCCTCCAACTTTCTTTCAAGAGGAAGAGCTGCCCAGAGCTTCTGTGCCTGTTTGTTTGCCTTTCCTGCCTGCAGTGGCCCTGAGATACCTCAGAAGTCTCAGCTTTTTCTCAACTTTAAAATATAGAATTTTCTTGGTGTTTGGTTTTAAATATTCTCCTGTGAGAACTGCAACTCCAGTCGCTGTCATGTTGTGCTTAAGAGCCTTCTGGAAAGTCACGAGCCTTTCAACAGAAGGGAAAGCCGTGTTACCAACTCTCATGATTTTGTCATGAGTCTCATGATAATTATGTTCCTTAAAGCCCCAGCTCCTGGAGTCAAGTGATCTGTGATGATTTCAACCTTCATTCTTAAAGAGAAATGAAGTTTCTAGCCCTCCTGACTGTGGAGAAAGCATCAAAATGTGACTCCAGGGCACCCAAAAGGCTCAAACAGCAGAAGGCAAATAAAAAGATCCCCAAATCTATTATTTTTACATAATCTCATGATTTTTGGTGAGCCTGACTCATTGATTTTTGAACATTTGGGGTTGGCGACCCTGTGAAAGTCACCTTCACGCCTGTTTAAGGCCAGTTTCTAGTCTGTTATTTGTAGTGGGGTAACACCCCTAGAGCCCCAGGCAGGTGCAGTTTAAACTCACTGGGCCTTGTTGCCCTAGTAGGATGTTTCCAACATTAAATGATCTAGTCCAAGCTTGAGGAACTGCAAAAAAGTGATAGAAAGTTCTCTAGATTTTTCTACAGTTGTTTCAGTTGCTGTATTCCAGAGTTAGTAACAAAGAATATACATTACAATTTGAAGCCAAACCAGTGTCCCTTAAGTGACTTGACATAAGATGTGAAGATGTTAGTATTAGAGCTGAGTGGGTCTAATATTTATTTAATCTTCTTTTTTTATATAGGAATTAGATACAGTGCCCTATCAGCTAATTTATAATTTATTTGCAAAAAAAACCTGGAGTTTTCAGGTGCCTAAGTAGCCCCTGGAATCACGGTTAAAGTTGTCCCCCTTTCGCCCCCTCCCCCCAAATCTGAAATGGCGCCCCTGTTCCCGCCATATGCAAAAGCTGTATAAGGTAGGGGAGTGATATCATTCTAGGTTCTGCACTGACTGCCCACCCAAGGATACTCCTGGAAACACCTGAGGAACAAAGTCTTAACTGGGGGAAGTGCTGGACCCAGGCTAAAGGGATTTTTAGCCTGTGAATGGAACACCTGGGATTCTAAGCTGTAAGCAAGTGCAGCTTTCCCCTTAAGAATCTGCAGCCCGCTTGTATCATCACTTAGGGTGAGGATCTGCTATTCATATCCTATCTGTTTAGAATATTAAGCTTAGTTTGCATTTTTATTTATTTGCTAGGTAATCTGCTTGATCTGTTTGCTATCCCTTATAATCACTTAAAATCTATGTTTTGTAGTTAATAAACTTGTTTTTGCTTTGTCTAAAACCAGTGTGTGGGAGCCATAACTCAGGGCAGAAAGCGGTTGTGTATTCCTCTCCACATTGAGGGAGGGAGTGAATGTTATGAGCTTATGCTGTACAGTTCCCTGTGCCACACTAGACAGTATAATTTTGTGTTTACACTCCAGAGGGGGTGCATGCTTGAGTAGCTGGGAAGTTCCCTAGCTGGAGCCTTCCCATGCAGGGCTGATCACAGCATCTGCATGTAACTACAGCTGGGTGTATCCCTGTCTGTATGGGTGCTGGTGAACATGCAGGCTGGAGCCTGGAGAGAGCTTGTCACAGCAATACAGTGTAAAGGGAGCCCAGGCTGGTGGGTCGGGGGGCTGAGTGGTACCCCAGTTCCAGGTGGCATCCCGGGGGGAACCCGTCACACCCATCTCAGCCCACTCCCTCCTTTTGAATAACAATTGTTATTATTTATATTACCATAGCACCTAAGGCAAGATGGTTACAGACAGGCAGAGGAATACAAGGAAACAAGACAATATTTGGTCAGCGTCATCGACTGTGCTCTCATCACACCTAGCAGCCTGAGTATTGCCAAGTTTTTTATGGGCATCGTGGCAAAGGAGAGTTTTGAGGAGGGGTTTGAAGGCGGACAACTGTTTACACTGTGGAACCCATGTAATTATATAAAGCTATTTTACCTGTGCTCAGTATTTAGTGCTTCATGAAAACTGAAAGGTGATCATCTTAAATCCATTTCTGCAACCCTTATTCACAGGGATAATTCCAGAAGGCTAGCAACACTGGTCTTGTTCACATTTCAAGAGGACTAGAGCAAATATTAGCTTGGAAGCAAACTAAATAACGCAATCAGACATCAAAGCCTTAGCACCTTAGACTGGTGACACATTGTAAACCTCCCAAGCTCTTGGGAAAGACAGAATATCCAAGGTTACCTGGACTGGAGAGGTGGGTGTGATGCTGGCAGACCAGGTGCCAGCTCATGCCAATTTCCCATGTCTCAAATGAAGACTGACAAATACACAGAGGGAATCAGGCTGGCTCACCTGTGTGTTAGTGTTGTTAAAATAGGTATTAGGATTGTAAGAATGTGTTTAGTGTTTACACTTTACTGAATGCCTCTGAGTTTCCTTAATCTCATTTTTAACAGCTGTGTCCCATATTGTAAGGTAACATTTCAGCATTTGTGTTGTGAGCCTCTGCGATTGTGTAAATCACCGACAGGAGAAAGACAGCTGGTCTTCAACAGAAGATGTTAAGTCCTGACCAACAGGAAAGGTCCATCAACACCAGATGTACTACTGTGGGACGATAAAGAGGACAAAAGACATTTGTTGTTTTGCCCTTCCCCCTGTGAAGAGGAGTCGTGCAAGTGGATTCCTCCCAACAGCTGAATTTGCAGCTCAGAGCACCTGGGGGGAAGAGACTAGAAACCCCTAACAAAAAGGAACTGTGACTTTATGCTGCTTGAACGATGGAGGGCAAGGTTTACTAGGCATAAGCAAGAGGTCCCCAGCTGTTAAACCTGGGTTAGCCCTAAAAGACATATAGAGTTTGTTTATTACAGAAGTTCATGTTACCTTTTGAAATTTAAGATTGTAACTCATTTGTGTATCTATGTTCACCTGCTTTAACCCTGTAAATAACTCTCTTGTTCCTTGTCCTATTTAATACATCTTTATATAGTTTATTATAAGGTTGGCTACAAACATCCTTGGTGTGAGTTCTGTGGTTTGACTGACCTGGGGTAAGTGACTGATCCTTTGGGGCTAGGCTTAACCTGAATATCGCTGTGATTCTTGGTGTAAGGGACCATCTATCACAAAGACAGGCTCAGCCAGACAGCAAGACCGATCGGAGCACCCCAGGGGACAGGCCGTGACTCCATGTGAAGGCTGTAGTAGTGCCTGAGGGGTTTACACTTGATACTCAGGAAGGAAATCTAAGCGTAGAACTCACAACCAATTTGGAATCTGTGCCCTAGTTCCTAACAGTCTGCCCTAAGGTTGGTCCTCATGCTCATGAGTCTGCAGGGAGCCTGAGCGTGGGAAGAAGGTGGTTGTGACGTGCAGATCACTTGAGATGTATCAGGCAAAGGAGGTTGCACATTTCAGAAACACTGAATTACCAGAATTACATAAAATGGAGGATCAGCTCAGGCACTGAATTGCACAGAGGTGCACAGAGCCCTAGAGAAATGGAACCATTTCTTGATTACTATGATGCGTAATATTTAGTAATGAACCCGCCCCATAAGCTGCAGTACCCCACCTCTTTAGCAGCCCAAGTCACCGGGGGCACATCACCCCGGTGTTCTGCTCGCTGCACAGGCTCCGCACCGTAGGGAGTCCAGCTCAAGGCTTGTTCCAGTTTTCAAAGCCTTTTGTGGGAATGGTGGGAGCTGCCTGTGAAACACCTTCCCCTCCAAGATCCCGATCTCCATCAGCTCCATTCCAGTGGGACAATGAAACTACTGCCGAGCAATGGGGGAGAGTCGTCAGAGCAGGAGGCAGAACTTTTAGAGGAGCTGAGCATAGACTGTGTAACTCCCTGCCACAAGAAAGAAGAATGATGATTATTTTGATAGCACATTACAGAGTGGACAGACAGACAAGCACGTGCCCTAGTGAGCTTACAGTCACCTTCGGGACATGATGGATTAGATGGGGTAACACACTTTAGGGAGGGAAAGGTGAGGAAGGCTATGAGGGTTACAGCAGTAAGCTTGGTTACTCAGTTTAGTCATGTAAACATGTTAATAATTCAGTTAAAACATATGATTCCTTTCCTAGGAGCATCGCCAAGGCTGTATGGTCAGATTTGGAATATTAGTGGTGAAAGCCAATTTTACATCACCCAGCGACGTGGTCCTGAATGAGCACCACACTAGCTTCCTGTGAACAAACTTGGCTAGAAGACCTAGAAACAGAGAAGCCAAAAACAGAACCTGCTGGGGACTGTTAATATCTATGACTTTGACCTTCCTGATAGCATACGCACAGGTTACAGAACCGACGCACGCAGATTACTGAAAGCCCTGTGCGCTTTCCCGCTCGGTGTTTGCTTTGGAAAAGTCCTTTCTCTTAATGTCTTGACTATTGTTTTCCAACTATATTCAGTTCCATTGAACTCTGTGCAAGGACCTTCAGGTCCATGAACATTCATATTGCTATCTAGGGCAAACAAATCAATGGAAGCCAGAGCTTTGATTGTTTGGGGTGAAATGCAAAGATGAAGAGGGGCTTTAGCTTCCATAGGCTGGTGGATTCTGGGCCGTCTCTTTTGTTTTACAGATGGCCATGCAGAACCAGGGCCCCCAGCTCCTGCTGCCACGTGAGCGTAAAAAGCTCAGCTTTCATTTTTTTAAAGTAAGTTTCTAGCCTTGCTGGTTGCAGAGAAAAACCTGAAAATGGGAACCCCAAAGGCCCCAGGCCCAGCCACCTGATTTCTAAGCCACTCATGTGATATTTTGGGGCCTTGCTGGTTGCAGAGAAAAACTTGAAAATGTGAACCCCAAAGGCTCCAGGCCCAGCCATCTCCTGATTTCTAAGCCACTCACGTGATATTTTGGGGCCTGACTCATGTGTTTTGAACCTTTTAGTTTTACAACAGTGGGGAGGACAGAAGGATCCGGCAAGGTGCAGGTGTTAACACCCCCAGTGCTAGGAAACACACAATTACATCTTTAACAATCAGAAACAAGCCAACATCTGAATGCCGCTTTCCGTCATGCGAAACCCTTTCAGTGTTCGCCCTAGCACTGGGCGAACCACTCCTGGTGAACAAGTTATGAGATGAATTTCACCCTTCGCCCCCGTACACTCTTGGATCTTAACAAATTGGTTTGTTATTTGCAATTATTTCAATTTCAAGGGAATTTTTCAAGTCAACCGATGTTGGCCCCCAGGCCTGGTGGGTTACGCTCCAGCAGGAAGTTTAGATTTGCCCCACGTTGGGCAGGACACTGCACTTCCTGCTGACTCTCACAGTCTATTTAACCCTTGGAGACAAGAACCACTTGCAGAGACTGAGAATGCAGCCAAGCCAGATACAGCAGCCTCAGGTCTGTGCTAAATTATTATCTTCTTGCAAGTTCTCTAAATAAGTTCCCCCTCTAACCTGCCTTGATCTTTCCTGAGCTATCACAGGCCTGCTCCTCACCTGGGAGTGCTGTTCCCTGGCCGGGCAAGAGGCTGTTTGCAAGGAAAACGCCCCTCTCTGCTCAAGACACTACAAGGAGCTGCACAAAACAAACCAGGAATCTTCCAGAGGCGACCTACGTCTCCAAGTATGGCGGGTGTCTGCTGAGCTGCTGGTGTCATCTGCTCTCTCACAGACACTTGGAGGAAGGTGGGCTCCCAGCAATCCACCTCTACCCAGAAGACACCTTTCCTGCTTCTTGCTTTGGGTCTGATCATTGGACCCTTCTAAACAAATAACGTGAATCTCTGGTTCTGAACATAACCCTTCCGGCCGCACCCTGCCCGTCTTTCTTTGAACGGCATGGAAGTGACGCTTGGGGAACTCCACACAGCATGCGAGTTCCATTCCAGAACCCATTATTCGGGTTGTGTATTTTGATTTACATTTATTTACTTTGTCTGTGTGAGGATGGGAGGTGAAGAGGCTCTTTGAATATTTTCTAGCTTCTTAGCGGGAGGCTGAGCTGCTCTCTGTGGCACTAGATGCATTATGAGGCCGGCACTCAAAGGCTTAGAGGAGAGACAAGTCTGACTCAGCACCCCCGAGTCAAATACACAGAAGCTTCGATCCCAGTCTGCATCTCAGCTTTGCAAGTGGCCCCGTCTTCAGAATGGGCTGCACCAGAAACCTGCCGACCTTCCCATCAGGATTCGGACCCAAACTGCCGCTCAGAAGTGGAAGCCTGTGGCCCCAGAGGCTGCACTGGAGACTTCAGCCCGTCCTCCTCTGGGGCAAAGGCTGGAGAACTGCCATTGGGTCGCCCTGGTCACCGAACAATTATTTCTAAAACTCTATTCTCCCATTTCAAGCCCCCTTCTCCAAGCATGTCTTGCATTGGCCCAGGGCCACGTCTCCAGTGCTGGGTTGGGTGGGCCTTTCTTTCCATGGGTTGGTAATTCCCAGAATGCCAGGGGGCAGGGCAGAGGGGACCTAGCAGCAGTGGCAAACAGTTGCTTAAAGTTTTGTTTTCATTGCATCCCTGTACTGCCCCTCCAACCAGGCCTGTTCCCAGCCCTGTTCCCTGTGCAGAACACCCTGGGGGAGAGGGAAATCTGCTCCCTGTGCTCTCATCAGCCGGATCCAGCAAATGCAACTCTGCAGCTGGACTCTCGACAATCTCCCAAAGCCTCATTAATCCCCAGTTTCCCCTTCCCAAACGCAAACAGGAAATAGCAGTAACAAAGGGCCTGGGATGGGGGGAGGGGAGAACACCAGCTGCAGCCCAGTTACCTCCGTTCCCGAGCTCTTCGTGGTGCTTGCCATTGCCAGCCCTGCGCTGGCTGAGCAGGCCCGCCGGGTGTATCCTGCCTCGCGGAAAGCTCCAGCCTCGCTGTAGCCCAAGGAAGGGGAATGACAGTACAGCGCGAGCTCATTAAATTAGCAATCTCCTTGTTGGTTCTGCACCTCTCAGCGGACCTCTCTGCTGGGCATGGGGGGTCTCTCTCATGGGGGGGTCTCTCTCTCCCCCCCCTCATGGGGGGTCCTGGACTGGAAGATCCCAGTTCTGAGCCGGGCCTCTCAAAGGGCTGGTGGGACAGCTGGCTTTATGCCAGCTTTGCACTTCCAGGATTCTGGGCCTGCCAGGGTCAATCTGGCTCCTGGCATTGACTTTCCCCCACAGGTTCCTCTTACTTGTGGCTGGGTCACCACGGGCCATACAGCAGCCCAGAATTAGTTACCACCTGGCCGGGATTTGACCAGCCTGGCTGGGTTTTTTATGCATTTGCCAGTTGCCAGAAAAATAATTTAATCTGCCGTTTTTGTTTTTTTTTGTCATGGGTCTAAATATTTGCGTTCTGATCCCAATACACTGGGCTAGCGACTGGTAAAAGTTTCTGTGTCCAGCTAAAGATGCAGCAGCGTTCCCGCTTCAGCAGGGTTAGTGATAACCGATCGAACCTGTCGAAAGCGCAGCAGCTGGCTGCCCGCCAACAGGTACGTTCACCGCACCGCGTGAGTCACACAAGAGTGAGGAGACGCACACAAGAACATAACAGCAGCCAGGCTGGGTCAGGCCAAAGGTCCGTCCAGCCCAGTGTCCTGTCTGCCGACAGTGGCCAACGCCAGGTGCCCCAGAGAGAATGAACCTAACAGGTAATGATCGAGTGATCTCTCTCCTGCCATCCATCTCCACCCTCTGACATACAGAGGCTAGGGACACCATTCCTTCCCCCTCCTGGCTAATAGCCATTAATGGACTTAACCTCCGTGAATTTATGCAGTTCTCTTTTAAACCCTGTTATAGTCGTAGCCTTCACAACCTCCTCAGGCAAGAAGTTCCACAGGTTGACTATGCACTGAGTGAAGAAGAACTTCCTTTGATTTGTTTTAAACCTGCTGCCCATTGATTTCATTTGGTGGCCCCTAGTTCTTATATTATGGGAACAAGTAAATAACTTTTCCTTATTCACTTTCTCCACACCACTCATGATTTTATAGACCTCTATCATATCCCCTTTCAGTTTCCTTTTTCCAAGCTGCAAAGTCCTAGCCTCTTTAATCTCTC